GTCCTCCAACTTGAATGATTTTGATTTAGAATGTTCATCGCCCAAGTCAAAACCCTCCAACTTGAACAGTTCTGATCTAGAATGTTCATTGCTCAAGCCATAGTCCTCCAACTTGAATGGTTTTGATCCACAATGTTCAAGTGCCATGAGAAAGAACTGGACAGTCAGACTGTTGGAGCCTTCATGTAAGCCATGATAGTGGTCTATATCCTACAAACAGTCAAGGAAACAATATATGTCCCACATTACAGAAAATCACAAGTTTTTTTTTAGAAACTGGGACCCCAGACACCCCTAGTGGCTGAAGAAATATATCCTTGGTCAACCCCAGCTGCAAAATATATCCTAAGTCCATCCCAGACCAGAAATATATTTCTACAGTGTGACAGTCACAATTCAGGGTCCAGGCATAAGAAATATATTTGGTGTCCATCTCAGTGAAGAAATATATTTTGGGGTGTGTGACACACTAGAAATATATTTGGTGTGACATTGGATGTCAAAATATATTCATGTAAAAGTGGAGATATACAAGCCCCAGGATATATACAATATAGATATACACCCTGACATTTAGTCCTGTAGTATTCATGGAGTTTGCAAGACTAATAGTCAGTTGTTAGTGGGTGACTGAAGTGTAACAGAAAGTCGTTTGGAAGAACTGGTAAAGTCAGCGCAGCCATAGCGACCATTATAGCCATAGCTGCTGGAGACGATAAGCAGGCCGGACACGAGACAACATCGGGGGAAGCTTACTCAGCAGAAAGCGCTAGCTCGAAAACGGAGGAAGAATTGCGAAGGAATTCGACAGAGGAGCCAGAGGAACCAGAGCAGTATGGTCCGAAAACGGCGGAAATGGCCGACTCCACTACGTACTCGTCCTCCAAAATGAAGGAATATCTTGATGTCAGTTTGCTCCCGGAGAATCGACTGGTGGGCAGCACTTTTATCATAAAAACAAGGTAACTGCCTATGGCTCCCTGTGTATCCATCCACACTCTTTATGATAGGGAATCATTCCTGTTACCATGTCTTTTCATTATCATAAAGCCTGCGCTTTTTTCATTAAATGGAGGCAAGGCCTTATTACCAATTTCATATCTTTACAAAGGCATATCATTGTGATTTTCATTACTTATCTGGCCAGTATCATTGGAAATTTCATTAATTATCTGGTGAGTATCATTGCAATTTTCAATGGTTACTTTGGCAATATCATTGGAAATTTCATTAGCTACTTGGGTGACATCATTGCGATTTTCATTAGTTACTTGGGCAATATCATTAGTTACTTGGGCAATATCATTGGCAATATCATTAGCTACTTGGGCAATATCATTGGAAATTTCATTAGCTACTTGGGCAACATCATTGCGATTTTCATTAGTTACTTGGGCAATATCATTGGAAATTTCATTAGCTACTTGGGTGACATCATTGCGATTTTCATTAGTTACTTGGGCAATATCATTTGGAAATTTCATTAGCTACTTGGGTAACATCATTGCGATTTTCATTAGTTACTTGGGCAATATCATTGGCAATTTCATTAGTGAGCTTGGGCAATATCATTGGAAATTTCATTAGCTACTTGGGCGACATCATTGCGATTTTCATTAGTTACTTGGGCAATATCATTTGGAAATTTCATTAGCTACTTGGGTAACATCATTGCGATTTTCATTAGTTACTTGGGCAATATCATTTGGAAATTTCATTAGCTACTTGGGTAACATCATTGCGATTTTCATTAGTTACTTGGGCAATATCATTGGCAATTTCATTAGTGAGCTTGGGGTGTTGCTCACTGTTGG